TAACTCGTAGATCACAAGTTCGAGTCTCCTGGGAATTTCCTGATTTCAGCACTGTTGACCCTTCCTAGCTAGGATGGAAAAACTCAATGGGATCTCTCAGGTTTCCATATCACAAAAAGATAATTTGGATGATGAAAATGATAGCAAATAAAATTTTTTCGCATGGCTGCTGGTTAGCCCATGTGGGAACACAGTTTATTTTTCTGAGTAAAGCCGATCTAAGATGGGTAGAAAAAACATTTGTTGCTTGTAAATGCTCTCTTTCATGGGGATTTCTGGACCAAAGCAATAAAAGCAGTAGCACATTCAGTATCCTAGCATTGACGGGCTGATCAAACAGGGATGAATAATTAGAAAAAATTATCGTCAAAGGATAAAATGTCGCTAGCGGAAATAATTATTACTGTCCCGCTATGTTTGGCATGAAGAATGCTCGTTTCCTGCCACAGGAAGTTGCGGTTGATGAACCACAATGTTATGAGAAAAATAAAACAAAAAGCACGTGCATATGAGTCGCTGAGAGCCGACTTTCGTAGACTTAGAGCACGTCTGGAAATGGTTACGTAAGTGGGCCTTAAACATATCAAGGCTGGTGTGACTCAGCTTATCATTTCAGAACAGTACAGTAAACGTTAAGGAGTTATCGATGGCCATACGTCTCAATGAACATGTGATAATATATTAGCACTGAATACTTATTTCACGCCTGTTGTAATTGATAGATCTGTCCTTCAAGATAATTCAAATTGATTTTTGGTTGAAGAGACACGTTAAATAGTGAGAGTTGCTCATTTGATGTGTCCTGGAGATGAACAGTTTGATCATTGAACCTCTGTAGCTTACCAATGAAAAGCACCCATCAGTTGGATTACGGTCTGCCTCAAACCTTTTTCAGACTGTCCCCTGCCCATCTGACGTCAGCTGAATTACAATTCCAGCGGCCCTGTAACTTCTGCTAAAGTTTTCCAGCAACCCCAAGAAAATTAGATTCGTTTTTACTTTTGGTCTGATTCCTGCGCATATTCGTTGTAGCATGAACTAGTTTTTCCGCTTTCAGACACGTAGGTTATGTTTCATTGATGCAACATACCAGTCAGCCATCTGAAAACTCATCGACAGTTCCGACGGGGTTTCGTCCTTCTGTGACCCCATTAGGTAGACCTAGTTCTCTATTTTCATTCAATTTCATTTTCTCTGTGTGCATGACAAATACACCTCAACTGTTCCGGAATTTCGACGGCAAGAAGTACCAGTTTTCCAACGACAGTTGTTTGGGATTCTGATGCTACAACTCATCAGCGCACGCAGCTACAATCATGATGAGCAGCAAGAAAGGGCATGTCTCTTGGTCAGTGTGTCAGCTTCGTCGCACCGAATAGTTTTTTCCCGAAGCAGTTCATTGTATGTGTTGTTCTCTACCCATGTCAGCTTCGTCGCACCGAATAGTTTTCTCCAGCAGTTCATTGTATGTGTTGTTCTCTACCTGATATAAAGATTGGAGAACAATCGACAAAACGATATCAGGGAAGTGGTATAGTTTCTAAAACAAAGGAGAACACTCAGTGTGTACTCGTTTAACGATCTTGGTAACAAAACGACCAGCTAGGGCACATGTCAAAATCCAGATTTATTTCTTATTGTTCGAGAATAGTGTTTAATTGGCTCTTAGGTGAAGAAAAAAAGACCCTGAATGTGAAGAACACAGCAAATTTGCCCAGAATATTCCACTGAAAAGCAATGTTGTTGTTCCATTGAAATGGAGGCTTGACTGCTCTTCCCGAATGACAGCTTGTCCAGGATTAGACTAATTCAACAGCCTTTCTTGACTGAGTCCCTGTTTAGTGAAATGTGTTGTGGAAAAAGTCCTTGAAGGTATATTCATCTTCTGGTAAAAACACGGAATGCTAAATGCTTTTACCGCTGCTTTCCCAAAATTTCTTCTTAGCATGCAAATAACTTTTTAGACAATAGTTACGATTGTCTTCGGAGTACGATTTACCTCATCCCTATGGGTCTTTGCGGTCCGAGGTGGTGATAAGGTTTGTAGAAAAATGAAATTAGCATTGGGTGAACATTTTTACGCGGGATTTTGCGTGACGAAATCTGATGACTCATTCTTTGCCAGCTATGAAAATTTTTGTCATCATTCAAAAGGGAAATTCTTTAGGCTAGAAGATTTACCATGCTTGTTCCAGCACAAGGCAAAATTGAGCAGCCTAACATCCACTGTCACACTTTTTTTGATAGCCACATGGTTTTCACTCTCGAAAACCGGAAAGAAAACTTCAATTTAAACTATCCGTCAGCTGCAAAATGTGGGCGTTTGTCATTTTTTGCAACAAAGAAAATAAACGCCTCATTTTGCATTTGTTTTTTTCATTATTTTTCCAGCTTGATTTGACTGTGACGTTATAAAGCCTTTATCCCTCTAATCCTATGCAGATTACTAGTTTGTCTTTCTTTACAGGATCAAGGAGTGCCGTAACCTCAACACAATCAGTTGAAATGTTAGAATACTATTAGAAGAATGATCGTGTGCTGTTTTGATGATGGAGGCGTACACAGACGCTTGATAGGCTCAAACCAACGCAGACATAACAACTAAAATGTTCCGTATTATACTGCATGTACCTAGTGACTCACGTACTAAGAAGACTGTCTGAGAATTTTGAAGTGCTGTTTATTGCTTGTATTCATTTAATGTGAAATGGCATTTTAATCCACTGTCATATTTGATGATGCATAGGGGTTAGAAAACCTCCAGTCAAACATCTGGTCAAACTGAACCGAATGGTTTTTCGGGTAGTCACATTGAAACGTTTGATCGTAGTTATAATTTTGGGATGCCAGTTCAAAGTAGCCGACCCCAAAAAGCTTTTTTAGCACAAATCTATTTCTAACAACATTTCGTTTGCAGTGACATCAGTGTTTTAAGTAAAGGCCGTGTCAGGGCCTGTTCGGTCGGTCCTGTTCCAAGCGAAAGGGCAGAGACCAGTCGTCTTCTGGAAATTATGTAATGTGATCTCAGTTCACGTATATTCCATATATGTTTCAGCTCGTGTACCGAAAACTTGTTCTGGTATGCGTCTTCAATCGTAACACCCAAATTTCAGGTTCAGTTTAGATTCTGCACCGTTAACTCGAACCACCAGTGAAATTTGGGCACGCTAAGGAAAACGTGTTTTTCAGTGCTGTACTTATGACAGAAGAGCGCATCCTAGGTTCAAACCCGGGTAAGAAGCTCATCTTTAGACCCCAGTTTAAAACAGTTGTTGGGAATTCGCTGTCATCAACAGACTAATGCTGTATTCATCGAATCGAATGTGCACTTTCCTCACAAAATAATAGACATGATTGATATAGGCACGTCCATTTCGTGTTACACGGATTTAGCCGCACATGTGGTAGTTACCAACTGGGAAGAATTATCACACGAAGCCTAATGGTTTGTTCGCTATCCGTTGTAAGCCTGTAGGCAGTAAATGTACAAGGTATGTTACAAAGACGGCACAATAATTCAAGTGAGCATCAGTCTACCCGTTCTAATTAATTTCGAACGCATTTTGAGCGGCAAATCTCACAATAATTTGCGATTTACTTTGTTAGCGTGAAGCTCATGGGGACTTTTGGGACACAGCAAGAGTAGTGTCACCTCCACTCTACTTGTCTTTTTTCCGATATTTTGGGTAGACCGTTGTTAACACGCACCTGACTGTCCTGAGTAAAATTCATCTACGAAAGCACCCGCATATTCGAAAGCAACCTTATAAGTTGATTTGATGACACGTAAGTGCGTGATGCCTTTTTGAAGATTATCGATGCTCTACCCAAAATTTACTCATTTTTAAATGAAACCATTGATGTACGCCTAGCACACTCCTGTTCCTTTCAAACTCTAATGTTTTCTTTTTTTAAAATGCCAGCTGCTTAGTAACCCTATTACTGACTTTGTTTAGCATTTCGGATGATCTCAGCGTTGTGTCAAAGTATCAGACTTTTAACTTAAAATATTAGTAGTATTACGTTATTTTTATCAGACTAATCTTACGTCAGCTCGTCAAAACCACAAAAAACCGATTCTGTCACAGAAGGTAGCTCAGAATGGCTTGAGGTTAACCTAAATTTGGTGAAGCTTTTTCCTTTTTATCGGCGTTTGTCTGGCGAGTATCATACCAATTCATAGTGATGTGCTTGCGATAGAAGGTTAGTGTAAATTGAGCTTTGTTAGTCCGGATGTCCCTTGCGGGTTGAAATGAAAAGTTAGGACGTGACAAAAAGCAACACGTAACTAAGTGTTGTCCATCACACGCGTGTTCATTTCACTTTGAAGTGCGCTCGGTTCTTTCCCATATAGCAATGAAGCAACATAGTTTACTTGAATATGAGGAGTTATTTAGTAAGACGTGGCCCCAAAAAGCACAGTTATCCTTGCCACTCAGATTACGTCTACTCAAAACAATCTACCAACATCACCACATCTCTGGCCGTCACTTTGATCGCACATGAACTCTCTTCTTGGATGTAAAGGTTTCCTTTGTCGATATTCCAGTTATCAGTAAATTCCTATCGCTGAAAAATTATACCCAGCGGTTGTTGGTTTTTTCCGGAAAGAAAATCATGATGAACAAATAATTCTATCCCGGAAAAGACAAAAACTATGCAGGTGAATGTGGTGAACTGAGACCGACAGACCGAAACAAACTCCGGTGGCTGAACAGTTGATCAGTTTCTGTGATAATATCACAAACAACTTGAAAGAGGGAAGTCAGACAGTCAGACCCTCGAACGTCAGACTCAAAGATTTTACACACTTTTATATTGTTGCCAGTGGGTACGTCAAAGGTAACGGATACAAGACCAAAATAGGTCAATGTGAATGAGGAAAGTACCAAGCCAGAAATGCAGGTCGTAGGATAAGCTGCGACAGTGTTCGGTAAAGCTTTTCCTGTTTTCAACCTCAGCGGCCATTTGGATGTGACCAGTCTGCCCATCTTTTTCAGGTTTATGAAATTGGAAACCTTGTCTACTTGGTAATGGACTACCTGGAAGGCGGGGAACTTTTGGACAGAATTTGTCAGCAAAAGTGCTTTTCTGAGCGCGAAGCCAGTGCAGTTATGGCCGTCTTGTCCAAGACCCTCGAGTATTTGCACCAGAATATGGTTAGTGATTTTTGTGACACTTATTTTGCACTAATTGTGGCATTCTGTTTTTATCACACACCAAGCTGTCCTCATCCTGCAATCCACATAGCAAAATGACCGAAAAAAATGCAAAAAAGTTATTTCTTTCAGGAGATATTGGCTGGATGGCGAATTTTATTATCCTCGTTAAGGTACGCTGACTGTCAGGAGATCAGCATTGTATCCGAATAAGGAGAACAAAACCAATTATGAGCTGTCGAAGAGTTTTCAGTATCCTTATGAGTAGTATTTTCCGTCTGGAAAAAAGTCAACGTCTGGTTATGTGGAGAACAATTTACGGTTGAGCTGTCGAGAGTTTTCAGTATCCTTATGAGTAGTATTTTCCGTCTGGAAAAAAGTCAACGTCTGGTTATGTGGAGAACAATTTACGGTTCTCAATCACCAGGCCCTCAAGCCGTTGCTCCAGACAGTAGTCCACGTTTGGTCTATAGCTTAGAACTATCTATCAAAGTGTCACATGACCAGTCTGTCTCTGCTTAGTTGATCAGTCTTCGTTTTGTTAAGCGTTTTTCACCCCTATCACGCCTTTACTACTGATCACTGATGGAAATGATAGATGGTTAGCAATGTAAATAAATTTGCTTCCTCCGGGGAGGGTAATTCGGATATTGCCCACAATTTGTGATCCTCCTTTGTGTTATAGTGATGAGTAACTCTGGAAGTGGGCAGATATAGAACATAAAGTTCCTTGTCTTTCTAATCGGTTGACTAAATATATCCTTGCTATGAGCAAATGCTTTACTCAATGCAACTATTCGTTGCTGTTTATTTTAATCACCGTACGTTGAAGTTACTTCCATCCTCAATGTTTTTGTGTTCGATGAGCTGGGGCTACCGGCTCGCTATGAATTTTACCTGCATGTAAACGCAAAATATTTTTACTGACCCATTTTGCTTCGACTTTATTTACCGACACGTTCACCCAGACAGGGTTTGCTGCCATGGTCGCTATTTGCAGGCTTAAAGTAGTCTGCTGCTGACGTAACAGCCACCATTTGCTTTTCCGATGCCAATTGCGTAGAATCCGTAATTAGGCTGTAGTAAGATAATACGGGAGAACCGTAATGCGCGTCCATTTGTGCGCGCCTCAGCGCGTCTGGTTCCGTCCCCACTAACAAAGCTTCGCTGAGTACGTTATTAATAAAGCGGCCGTGATGGAACTGATGATAAATTGAATAAGTTTGGCAATTTTTTCATACACAAGTGGTTTTATTAATTGAATTTTGAGAATCATCCCCACGTTAGCGGACCAAAACTACGCGGAACAGATGGTAGCTTTTCAGATAGAAACTCTAATGTGGCCCAGTCACGGAAAGGAGACACTTACTTAACTTAATCGGTTTATTTCCCCAAAAGTCAATTGTCTATTTCTGCTCACAGCGCTGTATCGTTGTGCCGTTTGTCCAATTTCTGCTGATGTTCCAAGTTTTTATTGGAGATGAAGAGTGCTGGCGCAGTGTTCACGGCTGAACAATTGAACAAAATTTACGTGAAACATGAAAAACACCAGTAGACTAACTAAAATTTAACTTGTCTGCTTCAGCAAGTTAGGATGCCAATATTTCTGGCTGCAGTTTGCCTTAAAGGATAGATTCCCTAAATTTTTCACGGCCACCGAGATCGCCAAAGTAAGAAGTATGTAAATTCTGCACCGAATGGATAATTAGACTTTCAAAGTCACTTCCGCAACAGATTCGGCAAAATATCGTCTGTCGTATGATAACCTTGCAAATTTCATTTACCTATGCAAATCAGTCACGCAATCTGATCGAGCGTGGCGTCTCTTCTTTATTCGATTACCCATCAGTCTGATCGAAATTGCTGATAGGGACAGTGTACAGGGTGACCGGCATGTTCGAGACTGGAAAGCTACTCTTCAGTGCCTAAATAGCACTGCTTATGTTATTCTTATCTATCCAGACAGGTCTCACAAACTAGAGTCAGTTGTCAATCAAAGGAACTTTCCTTGTGAGCATGGTCTCTATCAGTCACAATCAAATGGCTGATTTGTGTACTAAGTTGCGAGACTATAGATTATGAGTTTGGACCTGAGCGCGAGGTACCAACTAGTGCTGTATGATGCCTTTTGTGTCACTCAATACTCAAGTATACCCGCACGTAACAATTTCCTGTGGTTTATTTTGGAGAATCTGGTGTTCTTCTGCTGATTTTTAAATGTGTTCGTGAATTAGTCACGACGGCTTAAGTGCCACTTGTCGTCGAAGCATTGTGGTTCCAACTTGAAACCAGGCCACCACGCCAGGATTCAAACCGGATATCTTCTGATCCGTAGTCAGACGAGTTATTCATTACTTCACACGCCAAGAGACGACGTTTTCTTAGTTGGCAGAGAAACAAATGCAAATAACGGACAGTAAAACGCTCCAGCTTACTATCTGTTTGTTTCGTGCTAGGTGTAGTCATTCTGTTTCCTATTTCTTACCATTTCGACAAGGGCGTTTTGTTAGTCATATCGAATACTAAATGAGAGGAACCTTTCTCTCAGGTACTTGATGGTGAGCAGCAAAATTGGACAGTTGTTCAGAATGATAGTTGTGTTGCTGTGATGGGGTTGCTTGGCAAACCTAACGTGCAAGTGCCCGAATTTGTCATCTCCACCCTTTTCTAGTTCACCCGCAGTCACGCTCGTGATCGATGCTTGTCGCGAATGGCAACGAGATATTCCCATCGATTCCACAACTGTCAAGCCTTTGCTCGTTATCCCTGGACCATGAAACTCATGTATTCACTCATCAGTCATCATCGGTTTATTCGTTGTTCTTTTAGAATTCTGATGGTGGTGCGGCGGCTTTTTTTTGTGCACATGAGGTTCTTCAACTCGGCTTAAACAGTGTACTAACCATCAGTTTTCCTCCATGATTTCTGAGTGATCAGTAGACAGAAAGACTATGGTTGGTCAACACTATCTATTTCACGGATATTTTTGCACAATGGGTTCTTCACGTACCTGTATATGGTAGTTCATTGTCATTGATCAATTTGCGGACGGCTATCGATCATGGTGGTTTTATTAATGCACACTATGAATAACTTGACTCCTACCCTGTCAATATTCCGTTTGTTTGCTTGAAAAAGGAGAATTATAATGGAATAGCCAACTTGTTATCCGACTGCAGTCCCACATGAAAAAGACCAGATCAGTTTATCTTTCGAACCAAACAATTCATGCTTACTCAGCCTGCCAATAAAAACGCAACCAGCAATATTTGCGCAGCTGCAAAACAAAGCGGTAGAATTAACTAGGAAGCCATTCACTTTGGGGGTTATGTTAAGTAGAAAGTTTAGAGACTAATTGTTTGTGCTTGAAAGAGCGCATGCGACTTGGTGAATTGGATGAAAAACGTTGAGGAGAATTCTTTGAATGTGGCTAAGATGCGTCAAGATACTTACTTACTACAAAGTCAGTCAGGACATTTCTTGAGGTTCCGACCAGAGAGTTGTTATTAGCGGCCAAGCATTTGGTCATTGACCGTTTTAAAGGAGGGTTTGATGAATAAATCTAGATATACGCAGTGGCAAACATATCAACAAAATTGCTAAGAACGGGCGACAAAACCTAGAATTCGCACTTGAATAATGACAGCTTGTATTGGATCAGAACTACATAAAGTTACCCAGCAGGGTAATATCCTGCCTAACGGTAGGAATTTCGCTAAGCGGAGCAATGAAAAACGGTCATGTGTTTTTAGCTACTAAATAGACCGTCGGAATACTGGCATAAAATCTTATAAATAGCAAGAACTTGGTATTTTGAGATGGAGGTGCTTGCTAGACCAGCTAGCAGCTTCATTCATTGTAGTCGAAACTATACTCCACGAAAACGATAGCTACATCCACTCATGTCGTTATCCGGATTTTGGTACTCGTGAGAAATGTCAGGGGTTCGCATAATTCCCATGTACAAGAAAAGAAAAAGAAGGCACCCAAAGAGAAGACGAAAAATTGAAGAGAAACCCATAGTCACGTTTGGTATGGTGGTTGGCTTGTGAAACAGTCTTCAGCGATCGATAGCAGGCTTTGTCCGGTGCCCGTGTCAGTAATAAGCAGCAGCAACTGCCCTCAATCTGCCCTAAAAGGCAACAGCAACTGCCCTCAGTCCGCCCTGCCCGTGCATCGAGTTAAGCAGTGCAAAAGCCTACAGTGTTAACTCGCATTCAGCGATCGAGTGAATGCAACACTGTTCACTACAGACCGGGACTAACGGTATAAACATTCCTCTTTCTGTTGGTCCAATGAAGAGACGATTAATGGACAGGACAGATGTTGACCACGTGAGGATATAAGGACATTGTACAAGCGACAGTGAGATGGTTTGAACCAAAGTTTTTGGATGACTCTACTTGTTACTTATTCTTCACACTTCATCTGGTGCTCCATCATCCGTGACAGTATAATCACTAGTTACAGCAAGCGCCCTACGTGGATTTAAATGGTCAACCTTATACCGGTTGGGTTTGCCAAGATCAAGACTAAAACACTGAAAAAAAAATGTGGAGCATCAGAATGCAAACTTCGAATGCAAACTTGTTATGGTGTTCAGAACAACGTAATCCCCGACGAAATTCTTCAGACGTCAATCACTCTACTCTCTCCTTATCCGGTGAAGAATTATAACCTTTTAAAGATATTGACTGAACAATTTTACGTATGACCTTGTATGAAGGTCTTTTGCGTTCGAAGGCTTGTTAAATACTCCGTTTAACTTAATTTATAATCTTTCTGGTCGATGGAGTTTTTCATACCGCACCTTAACACCGGTAATTTTTTTCAGCTAGTGCGCCCAGTACTAGTCAACCATCAAAGCAGATTTTTCATGTATCATATCTTTTACGTGGTAGTGACTTGAAATCCGTTGCCTGCTACACATGATGTCCAGAAAGAACTCACAACTCTTGAACACTTACAGACATGAGGATTGGATGGTTGGTGAGCTTGTCCCCTACCGGGTATCATTGAACCGCGGTATCTTAAATTTTGTAGTCTGGTTTGCCGGACCGGATGACCGAATTTCTTTTCCGTATGATTATACTGAACAATCTTGGTAATGCCCTCTGTTTTCAGATTGTGCATCGTGACCTTAAGCCGTCTAACATTCTCTATGCCGATCGGACACTGGACCCTTCGTCCTTACGGATCTGTGATTTTGGGTTCGCCAAGCAGTTGAGGGCGGAGAATGGACTTCTAATGACTCCCTGCTACACAGCAAACTTTGCAGCACCAGAGGTAAGTAGTAGGAGTGTGTTTAGAGTATTATGGAGTCATTATATGACCAATGGTTGGTCCTGCAGGTGGGTGATGCTTCTAAGAAAAGGCAAAGCAGCATGTACCACTCACACCTGATTGTGACTTTGCTCCAGATGAATTTTTTTCGGCGAGTCAATGATCGGATGCTTGGCAGTGCCGCTTATTCTTTACGGGAAATATGAAAGTCCATGCTGCATAGATATCCCTCTCAAGTGTTTTCCATACGCAAGATCCCGCGGGTTAATGGAGACTAGACAAAAAACAATGGCTAGTCAGGGTTTTACTTGGTATAGGTGTTTGTTTTCCGTTTTCACGGTCATTCAGAGCAAACTCCTGAAGGCCGTTCAAAAGCCATGACAAGGCCTTCAAACACATTTTGCAACTGCTTCGCGCAGGGGCTAGTAGTTAATAATCCGATGAAATTGTGGGGTGATATGGTCATATGTGAAGGTCACGGTAGATCCACACGCTTCTCATTCTATGCCCATCTATAAATAACAGCAAGGGCTATCTAGGCGTTTGAGTGCAGTAAAGGATTATCTGTAATTCCCTCAAACGTGGATGTGCCAAATCTAACTTTTCTGGAATTCGTTGGCACAATATTCAGTGCCAAAATACCTTACCTTTTAGCCTACAAAAAACTGGATTTATCTATCACTCCTAGAGCTTTACACTCGTGTTTTACTTTTTTTCATCTAGATACCCTACATTAGTTTTCTTTCATTCCTTATCTGTGCCTACGTTCTATCCGGACCAGTTGAGCTATAGACGTTCACAAACGCAGCAGCTGTTCGAAAGGCATGCTTGAAGGACAAAAACGTAAAAGGCAGCACCAACTACTCACAACAGCTGCTCTCCTATTTTATCACCTAGAGGTTCTTTATTGTGCACCACAGGGTTGCCGGCGTTAGTGAAGATAACCTAGGTCAAAGAAGAGACTGCTTCATAGAAGAGCGCGACAACCCACATCAGTCGCATAGTGCAAATTGATTTAGTTAACTGATTTTTGGATCAGGTGAGCCACACTTAGCACGATTTCAGTATATGAAGCACTTTCACGTTACAAGCATACAGCTAAGCCTACAATAGAGACTAGCTTTTATTACGCGCTTTATACTGGTACATCTGTATAAAGATGTCTTCACTTCACTGAGCTAAAGTCACTAACCGTCACATGACTTGTCAAATCGGTAAACAACCAAGACTTGATCATTATATTTACAGGCTATACTTCTATCCGAAAATACTTTTTCTAACACTGTTGAACCGTTTTCTTGTGCAATAAATCATGCGTGGACCTTTACCCTCCAGGTTCACAGGGCCTTCGCTTACTCACCTGCGGTAGCACACCTGGATCCGCGGAAACACCGTGTAAACAAAGTTATACGCATGTGCATCATAGTGTAAACTTGTGGCGTCAGAAGGCACACACCAGCCATCAAAGTTTTGTGCCAAGCTAGGGGCTATTTTAGTGCACGGTTGCAAAACATGAGATTTGCGAAAAACATCTTAAGACTCCTCACACCTTTGGCTGTTGGTGTCGCGAAACCGTAAATGGTGACAGATGGCCTCAGCAAACGGAAGCGTAATGATCCTTAAAAAATGATCATTCGGCCTGAAGCTGAGGTTGTCACGTCATAGTCTGCGGAGCTGGCTTGTGCTTTACGCAGCTTCTTCGGGGTGGTAGGCTGAACTACGTGTGAGCGGGCTATGAGAGTGCGAATAGTATAACGAAAATTTTATGTTCTGATAATTTGAACCGCCTTTCGAAACGTGACTCTCTCCGTGTCTCGCTTGAGAAGATGTGATACTTTGCACATATCAAAGCCATTTTGCAAGGGTTTCCATTGAGTCTGTCTGCGGGGGTGTTTTGAGGAAAAATCGTGTTACCTATGTGTGAAGTACGAAGGCAGCGACACTCTACCGTCAGACCATTAGCGTCGGACTTTTTCGAACTCCATGCTTACTTCTGTTTCCTGCCTGAGTTCCCTTCATGACATAGGCAGATGCTTGATTCGATTTAATTCAACAACTAATCGGAGAAAATGCGAAGAAATTTGCTCACACGTGTACGACTTCACTAGCCAGAAATAATGGTGTTTCAGTACAATGAGTTTAGCACTAGCAACACAGAGGAACGCCGCCAAAGTGTCCATCTTGTCGCTGAAATCAACACAATTTACGAATCTGCCTAATCCAGATTCAGGCCCCCAAAACTTGTTGCACTCGGCTTACAAATGTTGCCCGGTGAGTCACACATCCAGAAGTTGACAGAAAACGTTCATGTACCCCAAGCCGCCTATGCCTCCGGTTCTCTTATCAAAGGGCTAAATGGCATTCCGTATGTGGGCTAGCCAGTGTACCTGTTTCTTCGAAGGCAGAAATATCGATTGAACAATGAGGGAATCATGCAAACAGACTTCCAAACATGGTTAGACTAGTTTTATCGAAAGAATTTTCAGATCGCCATTGTGATGGATTTTGCCGCTATCAAGCTCCATTAAATGTACTATAAGCGATTGGACCGAAACTATTTGTATACACTTTTAAAACTCACAGGTTTATGCTCTAAAATAATATGTACAAACGCTGGTTATCATGTGATGATATGATAGCATGTCGAGTTCACGTGACTCCCAGACCCTCCTTTACTTCTAACGAGCACCCTGACTGTCATTGATTTTTTTATCCTATTTTATCTGATTCTTGGCTTTGGTCAATCCTGTATCCCATCTACGTGCGTGTATCAGGGATTGAGGTATCGAAAACGTTGTTGCTCTCAAGGTTGATGTTCTCAAGGAAAAAGTTGTCGGAATTTCATCGGGAATCACTCTTAAGCCAGCGTTCCCTGTACTGCTCAACCCAGATCATGTGGCTTGATTTATATAAACCGTGAATAGACGATGAGCCCATGCAATTCAAAATTGCAAGTGCTAGTGCGGGTTCACAAACATGTTTCATCGCATCAAGTTGTTAACCGTGTTGCCACCATGTTTGCCAATACCTAGTCTTAGTAATCGATTTTTGCATGCTAATCTTGTGTTTACAAAAATCATGAGTACACCGATCCGTTGGCCATTTACGCATTACCCGCATAATTCGACGAGTCATTCGATGTGGCCACACTTGAACGCAGCACTGGCCATAATGTCGAGCCATTATGAACCAGTTAAATATCTTGAGATTAGGCTTTTACGATAGACTCAACTGAATCTCTCTTTTATGATATTGTACAGCTGAACATGCTGCACATAGGCCACCTCATGATTCAGTTGGCACGATATTCGAAACTCAGGGACTGCGTCTACTGATGAGCCCCAAGAAGGGCAAAACCGGTCTTGGGCTGTCGATGAGTTTTCAGCAACCTTGTGAGCAGTTTCCTTTATGAAAATATGCTGCGATATCTCGAATATCGTGCCAGCTGAAACATGAGGCGGCCTGTGTACATCACATTCAGTTGTAGAATATCATAAACAAGAGATTCAGTTGAGTCTCTCGTGAAAAGCAAAAAGATTTTCAAATAAGTGTATCTCTCGAAAACAGTCCAATTTGGGTTCAAATAGATCATAAGGTTGACGGAAACTCGGGGACTGCGCCTACCTGATGAACCCCAAGATGGGCGAAACCCGTCGTGGGCTATCGAAGAGTTTCCAGCAACCTTGTGAGTAGTTTCCTTTATGAAAACTTGAGATTAGTGTTAAACACAATGTATCATAAGCATTGTTGGCAGTTTAAAAATCCCGCAAGTTTATTTTAACCTGCCATTCGGATTTCGTCCCATTAGTGTCTGATGTCATTGTCATCATCATCATCATGGATAGCACAACATGAGTGTTCGACACTGATGTTCCGCTGCCTTATTGTGAAGAAAAGCATAAAAATGACTAGCACACCGACTTAAGGCTAGCCATCATTTCTTGGTATCTGCATCTCCAGACACTCATTCAGACAATCTGGATGGAAACTGACAACAAGAGCTTCACTGACATTGATTAGTAGGTGCCTCTTGCATCGTCTGCAATCATGGGGTCAGCGGACCCCATGCCGACACTATTCAGACTGTTCGTGAAACTTCAGTCCCATTTAGTGTACATTGATTTACCAGTGTTTATCAGACACCCAATACTCGTTAGCCCCTATTGGCCTCAGGTTTTTATGGTCACCGTACGCTTCTAAATGATGTCCACTCACAAGATTTCGCACCCCACTGGTTTATCTCTAGGCGAAGCTTTTCTAAATATTTTTAAGTTTCTCGGGTAATTTTCTGGTCTTACCACCAATCTACATTTTTGAATGATGATCATATGCCATAAAAATGATAATTACTTAGAATACTTTCGCAGCAGCTTTAAGGCAAGTAACAATGCAAAGAATAGGAAGCAAATTACCGTTGAATTTTGGGGATGGTAAACAACTGACCCGAGGAAAATTATTTTGACGCAGACTCACAAGACACAATCTTGTTTCAGTTTGTTTTTGAACACTTTCACTCTTCCCCACACATCAGTCGTCACTGATTATGAGTGAACCGGGATTTGGTGAACACGCTCTTGTTTGGCCATAAATCCCCAGGCACATGAAACCATTCAGATAACACACTAAACTTCATGAAAACCAGCTGGATTTCCCATGGCGTTGATTGGAGGATATTTTTGATTGTACAACTCTTTGGCGTTATTGATTTGAAATCAACAGGAAGTTCAAAGCAACCTCGAACGTATGAAGTCAAGTGAATTAGAAAGTTGTGGAACCTTCAACAACCCCACGAGATCCAGCGGCGTAGATACCGGTATTAGGCCCCCACGGAATTTAGATCAGTCGTATCCTACTTCTTACAGAGAAGAAATGATTGACTTATTGTGTAAAAATATAACAGAGGTATGTGTTCGGAAATGTTCCAGCAAGACCGCTTAACCACCCACATCAACCTGAGTAGGTGGTAGTTTTCATCATACTCGGTTTATCACAGAGGGGTATGT